GGACCCAACATCTTCCTCCTTCCCTTTGATCCTAGACTAAATGAGCTGAGAGCTCACACCTTTTGAATTTTAGAATATAAAATACATCTAGCAGCCATAATGGCTTTCCACCATCAAGTGGATGGATGCTCAGTATTTGCCCACCCAACGACATGCAGATTTCTTAAGGGCATGGGAAACCTCTTTCCACACATCAGACCACCCACTCCAACCTGGAACTTCAATCTAGTTCTGAGAACCTTGACTAGACCACCCTTCGAGCCTATGGCCACTTGCTCGCTGTTACACCTATGCATGAAGATGGCATTTCTAGTGGCCATGACCTCAGCATGAAGGATGGGGGAAGTAGTGGTGTTTTAAAGACCAAGTCATCTTGAGGCCACACCCCAAGTTCCTCCCCAACATAGCCTTCTTTCATATGAACCTCCCCATATTTTTTCCAAAACCATATTGTGCCAAGAGGGAGGCAACACTACACATGCTGGATGTTAGGAGAGCCCTGGCATTGTATTTGGACAGGACTAAGGACTTGAGGAAGTCTTCCAAACTCTTCCTTTAATTCACTGAAAGATCCAAGGGCTCCACAATACTACCTCAAAGACTCCAAATGGGTCTCCAGTTGCATTAACCACTGTTACCGTGAACGTTACGTAACCTGCTGCCTCCATCAGGGATCCACACGCATGCCACAAGATCCATTTCTACTTCGGTTGTGTTTGCTAAAGATGTCCCCATCTCAGAAATCTGTAGGGTGGCAACCTGGGTCTCTGCCTATGCTTTCGCGAGGACTCTTTTTCAGCACCTCAGTGCTATCATCAGTAACAGCCTCCACTCCGAAGCCCAGCCCTCCATGGTGCATATTGCTGTGGAGTACCTACTGTGGAGCACCCATAGGAACACTATTCAAAGAAGAAGAGGAAGTTACTCACCTTGTGCAGTAACAATAGTTCTTCGAGATGTGTGTCCCTATGGGTGCTCCATGACCCTCTCTCCTCCCCTCTACTTTGGAGTTTTTGCCCAGGGAAGATTAGCCTCAAGGCAGAGCATGAGGTAGGGAGAGCACATGTGTGCACTGAATGGACACTGCTACCTAAAATCTCAGATTAGAGGTGCAGGGACTCAGATACACCTACAGTGGAACACCTATACAGATACACATCTTGAAGAACCATCATTACTACACAAGGTGAGTAATTTCCTCTTCTATAAGTGTTCAGTGAATTAGAGATTGGATGCTCCAGGGTGACGCGTGGAGGACTCAGGAGTTGGTGGGTGCCTCTTGCTAATCTGTACAGAGAAGCGAGGCCTGCGGAGGCCTGGAAAGCAGGGCTTGTGTTGCCAGAGTCTGGGGGAGTCGGGGAGCTGATGCATAGCAGGCACAGACAAGACTTCCTCACGCTAAGGGCCAGTGGTAGTGAGGTGTCTCACAACCCTGGGTAACCCTTGGAAGTCTCACACTAGGGTCAGCTACTCAGTTGTTAGGCCATGCTGGGCTGAAAAATAAGAGCTATGGAATGCCATGGAGACCAACCTAATGGTGCTGAACAAGCCTGGCATGCAGATGAGCCGGTTCAATTCCTCGTTGCCATTTCTCACTCCAACTAGGCATCAGTTGAGAGTGTCGCAGCATCTTGTCTGGTTTCCTTGTGACTAGCGCTCGGCCATGCCACATAGGAGATTTAGCTTTGATTTCTAATTATTGCTTCAAGGCTGAGTGTATTGGGGAAAAATCAGCATTGTACAATTAAGAGGACAGCACTGGTGCACACAAATGGAGTGACTGCTGTCAGAAATGTCTGCACTGATTGTCCAGTGGGCGGTGCCCACACTAGCATTCACTTAATTGAGGCTTTATCTAGAGATTACTGAGATTCTTCAGTCCCTGACAACTGACTGAAACATTTTTGCATGCGGATTCAAGGTTATTCCTGAGGGAATTCTGCGCATCTGTGGACATGCAGAATTCTTCTGTCCTGCATAATTTTGTTTTTTTCCCACATAAAATACATTCTGCCCCAGAAGTGCTGCAGTTCTGCCTTTCGCCCACCAGAGGCTGCTGTGGTGCCAGAACAGCCAGCTGCAAAAGATGGAACTGCAGCACTTCTGGGGCAGAATGTATTTTCTGTTGGGGGGGGGGGGAATTCTATGCCCAGTGCTGCAGAATTCCTTCAGGAGTAGAAGTTCATCACAACACCTGCCCATGGAGCCAGGTTTGGACAGAGTGGGAAACACAGGGCTGCTGGCGGGGGGGTCACAGACTGGGGTACAGAATGGCTAGTTGGGGGGACAGACTGGCTTATGGCCTCAGGTGCGGGGACAGGGGCAGATGTGCCTGACTGAATTGGAGAGGCTTGGGTTCAGCCAGATTCTGCATGGGGAGACTTCCCAACTCTCTAACATTCCTACCCCCCAAAAAAAGAACCTTCTCCCACCCATACCTAACACCCTCCAGGTTCACTCCTAGGCTCCTTTCCCCTTCCTCAGTGCCTCCATTATCCCTGACTCCCCCAAGCCTTTGCACTACTTCTGACAGGTGCAGGAAATACAGTTCTGTATTGAAATTTAAATGAAGTACTCAAAGTTCTGCATTAATATGTTTGGGAAGAAATCTATTTGTCAAAAAAAAATTGTTACAGACATACTCGCTGACAGATATTTTTAAATAAATTACCAAAATTGAAACTGGCATGATTATATTGTGTTGTTTTGACAAATAAAATATGCAGAATTTTGCAGAATTTTCAAATACTGTATGCAGAATTTTTTAATCGTTTGGTGCAGAATTCCCCCCGGAGTACAAGGTGCATTTCTGTCAGTTGAGGGATGTCACAGTCGATTGACCTCTCTATTGCATGAGTCATATGTCTCTCATGTACCATACCATGCTTCTAGTTTGGTCCTCTTCATTATTAACAGTGATCTGTTATTATCTTTGCACCCCAGGCTGTTTTTTCCATATGTGAAGAAGAGCTGTCACAAAGACTGGAGCAAATTTTTGAACCCCTTGAGATTCCAGTTTCAAAGGAAACCACAAGCCTCTTTGACAGCCAACAGGTATTTAACATTATAGCGCAGTAGGACTTGGGTAGCAGCGGGAAGCTGGGTAACCTGCTTAGATCTGCCACCTCTTACAGCCTTATTCACACAAGGGAAATATCTCAAATGTCCCACAGTTGCTAAAACTGGTTCAGCTCCACCAGTGTGAGCGATGCTGGAAGCCCTAACGTAGACAGGCAGCTACAATGGAAATAACCTGAGCGGGACAGGCAGAGTAGAGGGGAGAACTGTGATTCCTTTATGTTTGTAACTGGTATGACAGGAGAATCAGGCTGAGTCGTCTGTAGTGTGGTAGTGTGACAGATTCATGTTACCAATCTGCCTGAGGCATCAGGTTATCAGGCTGAGGCCGCAGGATTGTTAGAGGAGGAGATGAAGGAGCACACCAAGTGACTACGTTTTAAAGCTTTATTTATAAAATAACAGTGGTGAGTGCTGTTGATCTCCGACTTGCTTTGGCTTTTGAGAGGATTTTTAAGCCCTGGGTTCTTCTGGGGGCATTTTGTTTAGGGACCTCTGTCCCCCATGCTCTTTGTACCAGTCCAAACCGGCTTTGTGTGGCTTCCTTAGCCTTCCCAAAACACACCGGCTTCAGGGACGCAAAACTGTTGTTTTTCCCCCTCACTGGCCTTCACCGTCTCATTAGTTTTTGCAATCCCCTGCAGTCTTGTTCAGCTTACTTCTCTTTTCTCACGGCTGGTCAGGGTTGGAATTCAGACTCCCGTCTTTCTTGGCTTCAGAGAGTTTGCTTGTGTGCATTGGCCTTGGGCGGCTGGAGTCAACTTCTTATCTGCGGACCTAGCTGGATCATCGAGTTAACCCATTCCTTTCTCCCCCTTCGGCCTCTCGCAATCTGCAAAGGAATCTTTCACTCCACACTCACACCTTGAAGCTCTCCCAAAATCCTTTCCCATGCATATGCATATATAGGCGTTAGCAATATACAATGCTGGTGCTTACCCAGGGGATCCCATGGGGGACAATTTTACTGTGACAGTAGGTCACATGACTGAGAGAGAATAATCCTGTCATTGACTGACTGGAATGCACATACAAGAGTTAGAAATCTCCTTCCAACCCTATGTCCCAGTCTGGGCATTTGCCCAAACCTTTGGAGCTGGAAGTTTCCAAATCACTGTTTGGAAATATTTGTCTCTCTGAACAGGGCCTATAATCAGGAATTTGATTATTCCCATTTCATATCGGCTAACTCGGGCTGTTCTTTGTTTGGTTTGTAGCTGCCCCCTGAGCTGACAAGAGATATAAAGAATCACCTTAAAAATCTCTATTTTAAATATGGACAAGACTTTTACCAAGCCAAGATTTGGGTGAGTAAATACCAAGCATGGGAAAGGAGTTCCATTTCCACACATTTCTGTGAAACTCATGGTATTAAAAGACACACCATTGAATTCTGTGCTGTATCATCCACTTCTACGATGGGGGTGGGATTCACCAAACTCCAAGAATTTTCCTGTCCAGCTCCTCCCTTTTACTCCTCTTTCCACCCCCCTCAAAGCTGACGTTGTGGAAACCCCTCTGGCTGAGGAGCTCTGGATGCTCCTCCCTTCACACCCCACTGATACCACTCCTTACATCAGTCAGAAGGGACTCATAGAGTGTCTAGATCTGGTTTCCATGTTGGGTCATGAGAGGTGGACATATGCTACCTTGTGTTATGTGGAAATTGGGAAAACAGTAAGTGGGTGGAACCCAAGTTTCAATAACCATATTCCAACTCTGCAAGACCAGACTCTGTCCTGTTTCTTGTGGTAAAAGTCTATATGGGCTGCAATGGAGCTGCTTCATCACTTTGCAGCTCTTCTTTCTCCTGTCACCTGCAAAGCTCTGTTTGGATATGGGGATCAAAGGCAGCCCGTGGATACTGGAATTCTACCAGGCCCCGGAACCTACAACTTCTCTGGATGGGAGATCAGAGAAAATAAAGGATCCTCAGACATGCCTTTCCCACTACCATCAATTCTGGGTTAGGAATTCAGTTACTGATATTAGTCCATATTTAGAAGCAGCAAAGTGAGTCAACGAGTGGTGGTAGAGTCTGCTTAATAATTATCATTACATTGCAGAGCACATAAGATAATAATCACTGTCCTCGCTTTATTTTCAGCCTGTTCTTTCTCCTGATCTACAGAAGTTTCAGCTACTTGTAAAGTTCACAGCAGAGTGCTACAAAATTTACTGTTTGTTGCTTCTTCAGAACCCGCCCATTAAACCTGTGTGGCCCGCAAATAGAATTCACACAGATTTCATAGAGCATGTGGACAATAAAGAGATAGAAAGTTGTATGCCAATAACCTTTCTGTGGCCAGTGCTGACCTATGGGGGAAAGGTAATTAGAAAGGGTGTAATCTATGATTAAAAGTCATGGCTGTTTGGAGTCAAATTATACCCCTGTGTCAAAAAGCAATAAAAAGCAAGTAAATCTGCAGCCTGGTGGTATGTGTCTTTTTTTTATCCAGCAAATGCCTGGGTATTAGCTCTTGTAATTTAGCTTTGGAGAGGGGAAGACAGGAGAGTGTAGGATTTACAAATAGTGTATTAAACATCTCCAGATATCTTATGGAAAACATTTTTCTTAGAAATACTTTTGCTCCTGCATGTCTCAAATTGTAGGTACTTATCATCCCTGATTACTTCCAAGTGTCATTTGTGTGAAAACAGAATCTCCATTTTTAAATTATCTGCTGCTTGTTCTCCACAGTTGGAAGTCACATTGTCACAATATCTCCACAATAACCAGGATCATGCCTTCTGCTAGAGAATAAGCAGCAGGAGTCAATAAAGATGAGCTGTTAGGAGTAGGGTGAGCAGATGTCCTCTTTTTAAAGGGAAAGTCCCATTTTCTGGGACTTTTTCTTATATAGGCACCTATTACCCCCCACCCTCTCTCCCGTTTTTTCACAGTTGCTATCTGGTCACCCTAGTTAGGAGCAAGTACCCTGTTTACATGAAAGTATCCTTACTAATCAAGAATGAGGAAAGGGAAATGCAGGATATGGAAATCTAAACCTTGAGTTCCAGGACTCACTAAACTCACCAGGACCACAGAGATCAAAGGCTGAGTATACATAAATGACCAGTTGTAAATGTCAAAGGGTGATTGGAGCCCAATAGAAATGCAGCCTCAGCTCCTGTCCGCCCATCCCAGCCTAGCTGCTCTGATGAAGTGGTAGGTTTCACTAACCCTTCCACTATCTGTAACATTTGGTCCCCTATTCCTGCCCCTCTTCTTGATCCCCAGATTAGATAGGGTGGGCGGGGAGCAGAGTGCATACAGAGGGGAAAAACGGGGGATGGGGGAATAAGTGTGTGTGTGTGTGTGTGTGTGTGTGTGTTTTGGAGAGAGAGAAAATCTTCCCTCTCACCAGCCCAGCCTCACCTCCCTAATCCTAAAAGGCAATATCCCACCAATGCTCCAGAGACCCTGCCAATGTATGCTAGGGTCTTTCTGATCCCCAGATTGTGCTATCAGTTTAGCTCTGTGTTTGTGAGTAATAACTGACCATCGTTAAGCACCATTTATACCAGAGTGGCAAGTCAGCCCAAGTTCGATGTGTGTTGTGGTTTTTAAATAATTAAATCAAATGTATTCAATCATTTCAACCTTATTAAGAACAAAATTCTGATTAATTCTAGGTCCTCCCTCCAGTGCAATCAGCAACACTCATGTGACCTGTGGGGCCTAGGGCAGCCCTCACTGAAAATGCCAAGGTTAGGGCAGGCTGCAAAAAGGAGAGAGATGCTCCCAAGACTGGTGGGTAACACTGATGTTAAACTCCCCAACCAGTCACAAACTGTGCTCCTGATCCCCCACACTGGTTATCAAGAAGCTAAAAAAGAAATCACAGCCCCCTTATTGCATTCCAGTTCTCTGACTCACAGTCAGCACATAGGTCCAGTACAGTGAGAAGTTACTTAAAAACTCTGCTCATTAATACAAAATGTTGTTCTGACCCCAAAGGGTCAGTCACATTACTAGTGGCCAATATTAGTTTGCATCTTTCCCCAAATACCAGGCTGCCAGCCAATCCTTTAGTGTCTAAAACTAAAGGTTTATTATAAAGAAAAAAGAAAGAACAAGAAGAGAGTTGTTAAATGATAAAGCACTCAGATACATACACAGACTTCAAAGTCTGTATATCATAGGGTTACCATATTTCAACAATCAAAAAAGAGGACGGGAGAAGCCCCGCCCTAGCCCCGCCCCCATCCTGTCCTAGCCCCGCCCCTGCCCCTTCCACTCCCTCCCACTTCCTGCCCCCTCAGAACTCCCAACCCTCCCCCCACTCCTTGTCCCCTG